TGTGTGACGTGTCTCTTCGTCGTACCCCCCCCCCCCCCTCACCGACTGGTGGAGCGCTGGGCGCGCGCTCCCACTTCTTACCCTTTCTCTCTGTCCGGGGGGACGATGGAAGAAAGGAGATTCGCCGCGGAATCGGTCGGGATAGTATCGCCCCTCGCTTGAACGGTCCAAATGAGTGATGTGTGATAGGTTTGGACACGAAAACACGCACGTGGAGTATAGCCCGAGCTATCCTAGCTACGTCCTTGGACACCCGTTAAAAATAACCGCTTCGAGATGAACAACCTCTCACCTGCTGCGTGTTGGCCTTTGGCTCGTCCTCGGCTGTGCTGTGAGACTCGGTCATTTTAGCAGTCAACCTTCTCCTCCTTTTTGGGGCCAGGGTCACGTTTTCCCAGCCCTTGCTGTTCCACAGGATATGTTTGTACTCTGCTCCGCCACCATTCTTGCCGTGTGTCGCGTCACATTGGTCATTGCCACACCGTATTAGGACAGTTAGTGGAGGGAGGGTAGTGGGTCGTGTTTGAGGAAGTATGTGTTGGATGTGTGGGTGAAAGGAAGTGACAAGATCAACAACATCGCTACGCAAAAGGAAAATTCGAGACACGTACACACCTTCCCGTCCCCGGGCTTGGTTCCACCTCGCACTACGCCAGGCCGAGCCGTTCTGTGCCCCTCGTACCCACTTCGTCTCCCACGCTTGCGTTGGACCCGTTCATTCCTCGCGGGTCAGCGTTTCAGGTGATTGCTTCCACCCCTTTGTCGTCCGGGTCGGGCTTCGCGCCGACCAGCCATCCGGCGACCCGACCAGTCGCGGAAAATGGGGCACTGACCGACGTCGTTAGCAGGGGCAGCAACATCCACCGTCTCCCCGGCCGCGTCCGTCTCCTCCTCTGTTTCCGTCACCTAGTCCTCCACGTCATCTTCGCTGTTTAGAGCGCTGCACCGGTTCTCGCACGTGAACCGGAACAGGTTCGCGTCCTACACGGAAAGAAAAATCGAGTGGATGATTCAAATTTAGTATGTCGCTACGAGAGCAGGGCTCGTAGCGATGATATGTACATAGGAGAAAATAACTTCCCAACACGTACGCAGGTGCGGTCATCACGTGGCCATGCTTGCCCACGACATGCCACTCGTATCCACGATCGTCGGCGAGCACGCCCTCCCCGTCGGATACCGCATCACCACCGCCGTCCTCGACACCGGCATCCGACCCCGTCTCGGCAACGTCGTCCTCCGGCTCCACCTCACCCTCAGCGATAGGATCGACAGCCTCCTGGGCTTCATCGGCAACCACTATGCGTACAAAAGAAAAAAGGTATCAAGTGTGTCATGTGCGGGATCACACATTGTCAAAGCAAGCTGTTCCCCGCACATATTGCTATTTCACAGACACAGACACAGAGTCAGGCGCCGTGGAACCAAAGCCTTGAAATGCTCGCACCGGCCGTACAACGCCAAGTTGACACCTGTGTCCGCCAACTCCTTCCCCTCGAGATCGCACGGCACCAGCAACCCATCCTTGCCCTTGTCTTCCCTCACGACCATGCCCCCGTCCAACCCGAGGTGCTCAGCCGCGAATTACACAGCGACTTTGCCCACGTAGCCATCTGGGGCACGCACCATCTTTCGCCACATCCCTTTCGTTTCGATTTCGTGGTGTAGATTGTGCACACATCATCATCAAACGACGCGGATTCCTCGCCGTCCTTTAACATCAGGCGGTCGTCGGACACGTAGACGATGGTGTCCTCCATCTCATTGGCGATGTTGCAGTGCTTGTCGTATTCGACCGAGGAATCCTCCGCGTAGGGCGTCCCGGCGGAGATCATGCTTAGGGCATAAACGGAGAGGTGACCGTGGCGTTCATCACTGTGCCTCTCCCGTTTGTTATATGCGTTTGTTGGCGTCGCCGTCAACAACGCCGCCGGGCGCTCCGGGCGCTCCAGGGATCACCCCAGGGATCGCTCCAGGGATCGCTCCAGGGATCGCCCCAGGGATCGGATCGCCCCAGGGGTCGCCCCAGGGAAGTCTTCGTGGTTGTGTGTGTATATGAACGAAGTGCCGGCACGACATATGTTTCGATCCCGAAGGGTTTGTCAATTTTCAAAAGCAAAAAACGTTCATGGCCTCCTTCGCCCAAGGTGGTAATTCGCCCGAGGTGTTATTCGCCCGAGGTGGTAAGGCCCTTTGTGATCGTCAATGCTATTTACGACACCGGTGTCGTAATTGTTCTCACGACCCCGTTCCAATTGCTTCGAACCCATATTCACTGTGCTCCGCGGATCTCGGCCGTCGTGCAACCCCTTGTTCGGCCCAAAGCGACCGATGGTTGCCGAGATGCGGCCCAACACCACGTCAAGGCACCACCTCGCGGTGTCGTCGATAAGTTTATCAACAACACCGCTTGAAACTCTGTGGAACCACCTCCAATAGGCACAAACCAGCTGCACTGTGATTCCCATGGGCCCCAGCTGATTACACAAGCCGTCGTCCGACCGAAACCGATAGTAGTTCCCGAGATACGCTCACGAATCTGGCCAAAGCTCCACTCTTCGGCGGTGTCACAGACAAGCTTATCAACGACATCGCTCCGCACATTTTTGAACTACCTCGGGGTATACTACCAGGAGTATTGTTTCCGCTCGAGGTGCGTTCGTTCCGCCCGGGTGATCCCACTCTCCCGCAGGTACGCGCCTGACCCGTCATTCGTCTTTCCCGAACCGACACCAAGGGAATGACAAGGGCAAAACCATCCTCCAGACGGCCAAGACACAGGAAGCGCCTTCCTTGGATGACGTGGCCAGGCTAATGACGTGGCCTTGTTAAACCTCGTGTAAGTCTTCTCGCCTGCTTGACTTGTCCCTGCGGAAGTCTATACTGCTGTCGGTCGTCCCAACGGGTGACCACTACTCGACTGACCGACGAAGTCATTAGCGTGTTGGGACCTTGTTCGTACACATGGGCGAGAACCATTCTAGTGCCCTGCCCCCTCTTGGGATGCCCCCACCCCCGGTGTGCCCATGGGGGTTGAGTTTTCGTCTTATGGTAACGACGCTGTAAAACAAACCCATCGCTTTGTGACCTCGACAACCAGGTTACCGTTTTGTTCCTTCGTTTTTTTTTTGCGGTAACCTAGTCGTGGTCGAGTAGATTAGGTTGTGCGGAGTCAAGAACGGTCACTCCGCGCAAAGGGGATAATCGCACCACGCTGTGTTTGATAACTGTCTCTGGAAATGGAAGTAACAGCGCACCTTCCATGCTTCTCGCCGAATACCTCCCGGCGCTTCGTGCATGATTGTGATAGCCTACGGTCCGGTGAGAACCCGGCGTGCTCCATCCCGACTTTGTAGGGATGCGAGGTCAATGGCCAAAACGACTACTGTACGGCATGCACGACTGACTGTGAGTACCCCCCCCCCTTCTTGGGATGCTGCAGGAAAAAAAAAGAACGACTGGCCTGAAGGGGCCCGGTGCAATTTCGCCGAGGGGTGTGCCCACAGTGGAGGCGGGGAGCCCGTTGTTTGGAAGGATTGCCCGTTGTGGGACAGGCGTGCCCCCAACTGCGTGTGGATGTCCCTGTTGTGGAGGGGGGGGGGGGGGCTATGTCTACGGGCGGGGGCGATGTGGTCGGGGAGTGTCCATAACTCAGGGGGTTTGCCGATAAACCAGGGGGTGTGGCCGGTCCTTGAAAAATTAGCCCTAACCAGGGGGGGGTGGCTGGCTTGCCGACGTCTGAGTTCCTCAACGCGTTGAAGGAGGGAACTGGCGAAAGGTGTGGCTCAACGTGCTTTGGACGAGGGTGCTCTGCGTCGCATGGTACTGGGAGAAGAAGTTGCCGGCCCAGACGACAAGACACATCTAAGGCCTCGCATGCATCCCTCATCAAGTTTATGGAGACGGGAAATGCAGCTTGCCCCCGACCGGAAGGAGCAGGGGGACCGGTACGGTTGGCAATTTGAACGCCCTACTTCTAGCGAATTTGCATTCGATGGCTCCATCGGCCTAGAGAACTAACTCGTGGCAAGTTTATCTAGTGATAGCATCAAAGCCTGTTTTGTCCCCGTGTACGCCTTAGTTCCCTTCTAGTCTGAGTTTTCCGGTGAGTCTACGTAAATGTGGCTATCTATCTTCGCTCTGCCTCGAATGTATGCTAATAGAATAGTTGTGGGGTTACGGGAAGATGGACGGCGAATAGGATTCAGGTTAGGACGCCCTGGTTGTTGACGTATTGGCTCTGGCATTGCCCTACAGGTTTAAAAGTTTGATCCATGGCCTGTAGTGGGGGCTACTGCTGTTTGGGATATATACAAGAGGTTGGGTTCGGGTGGATCATGGCAAAACTGCGTAATTGAATTTTGATTGTATGGATCGGACCGCACTTGGTCGACTTAGCGGTGTATGATCCGGTGCAACCTTTGTCGTACCGAAAGATCAGCGACGGAGGAGCACACTCGTTCCGGTTGCCGCGATCACGAAGGATGGCGGATTTTCCGCCTCTCTTTCGCCTTGCTTTCGCGCTAAAGTGCAGGCCGCGGGAAAAGGGGGGAAGGGGTGGTAAAGAGGACACGCAAAAGACGGTTGTCCAGAGGAGGGGACTCCAAGACCAAGTGAACGCCGAGGTGGAGATGGGCTAGGAGTGGGACAAGAGTTGAATGTTTTTGAGAAAGAACATGTTCAGCGTTGATTATTTGCAATTCTGGCGTGGTGGCAGGAAAGAAGGGTCGGGTTCCCGGACGGCGAATTCGGACTGCGACTTGTTTTTGCGCTTTTTGGAGGAGACGATCTGCCATGATGGCGCCAAGGAGAAACCTTGACTGTGACGTTGTCGCTGCGTCTATTATAAAGTGGCAGTAGATCGAATTGCTGTAACTTTGGACATGTCAACACTTGCCCCGTGCTACAGGAATTCCCGTGCCACTCTCTTTTTCTGTCATTTGACCGCCAACCACACCAACACATGTTGACATCGTTTGTCCTCGTGATAACGCGCATGTTCAAATCGCCAAGCCCGTCGCCGTGACCAGACGTAGTCATTCAAACAGTTACAGATAATAGAACTTTGCCCCACCCACGACCCTGCGGAAACCAAGAACAAGCGCTAACACCATCGGCCCCATCTGGTTTGGGAGGCGTTGTTCAAGACTTGATCTGAAGCCACACCTGTAGGTCTTTGCCTTTGCGCCGATCCGTGGCACACCTGGCAAATCCGCCACACATCCCTTGCTCTCTGTCGCCTATATGCCTCCCCCAAAAGGAAGAATGGATGGAACTGCTCCATAAGAGAGGCAGAGAGTGCCTAACGCTGGCTTCTACCGTACCGAGTATCAACATCGACCGTCGACTCTGGTTGTTTCCACCCACATACGTTTGGCGAAGTACTGAATCGATGCAACCTCACAGGGCACATATGGCATTGTTCACCCTCGATACATATCCCCAATCGAAACATGTTTTGCAATGCCCTCAACGCGGGGCAAAATGGATGCACCCTCCCGTTGCTTCACGAGGAGACGGTTTAATACTCCTTTGCAGCTGTCCGACGTCCAACGAGCAGAATATCTAGGGGACCTCCCGAACGACGCTAACAAAGTCTGTCAAACCGCATCCTTCTGTAACACGGGCCACAAATAATAGATATACAGCATACGCATAGACCAAACATTTGCAGCAATCACTACACATCAATACTTCGTACTCTATCTCCAACACCACGGCATCCGAAATGGAAGATCGCCGATCCCTTAGCCCTTGCCACCATAACAATACGCTCTATACAAAACACGCATCTCACCGAGTGTGCCAGCCCGCCGCATGGCCACGTGTACCCGAAAGTTATTCAATTCAAACGCGCACGAACATGTCTAGAAGCCTGGCGGCAAATCTCTGACTGGACCATGCTCGTCCAGCGAGTGCTTACCGCTACATTATTCTTCGCTGTTCTCCTGTACGTCCTACCGTCCTGCAGAGGACATGACAGCTGCTGCAGAGAACAATGGAAAGCCTCTCAAAACAGGTGCCTGGAAACAAGGGGTGAACGACCACCCGAAAAGCAGTTCCCCCTGGGAACGACCTGAGAAAACAAGTACATAACTGTTGTTCCGATGACTCTCATCAGATCATACGATCTCGACGCGATCGTTGAAGACCAGGCGTTCCTCCCCGAGTCGCCGAACCTGCCCGGTTTACCCAGCGTCACTCCCTGCGCGCACCTATGGTGCTGGAACGCCCCGGGCTTGTTCATTCTGCAACAGCCATCAACACATAAAAGCACGAGTTCGGGTTGGGAAACCTTCGCGGAAACAACGCAGTTCCGGAATGGTGGTCATCCGTATGCTTCTACAGCGTATTCCTCACGAATAATCTAGAAGGTTAGTGGCCACAAAAAAGTTCGAAGTCGAACAAGGCAGCAGGCGACTTTCCATCCAATAGTCTATGCCTCCTGCGCCAGATACAGCTTACAGTCTCGCCGAAATAACGTGCTTAGCATATGCTACCGAGCTGTTGGAGAGTCTGAAGACGAGAGACTTGCAAAAGGTGTGTATGTGGCACGTCATTGGTTGCAGAGAACTCAGGTTCGAAGTCAACGACCCCTGCGAGTATTTCTTTTGCTCACCGCAAGTGTAGCCTCCGACCCCAGGCTGGCAAGTCGTTCCGGTCTCGCAGTAGACCGCCTCGGTGGGCTCGCATTCTGGGTTGGGTTAAGGTTTGGGTTAACGAAGCAGGCATCCCAAAGGGGGTACTGAGTTGTCGATGACTTGACTACATTTTCAACGCGTGTGTCGAGCGTGGGAAACGTCGCTGATGGCAGCTGGCAGCTGATTCACCGTGCTTCGCTTTCATCTTGCATCACGCCGTGATGGCACTACTACTACGCTCTGATGAGCCCACTCCGGAGGCGCGCGTTAGGTACTCATTTCGATGCACGCAGGAAACGTTTGTAGCACTAGCGATGTGCTCCGTGCTGGGGGAAGAAATAATGCCGGCAGGTGATCATCCCCAAGTCGATCGACTGCAGGCGGGCGTGAACCGCAACGTGCCCCAGCTCTCATGAACAAGGAGGAAGGGGTTCCTGGGTGACCGTCCTAAACAAAATACTGCTCCGGAGAAAGCTACAATAGTACACGACAGAGTTCATTCCCCAGGAGCATCCGAAACTCTGATCACCTACCGCTCTGTCTCGGCATGAACCACGATCAGGTAAACCTTCAGCTACAAAGCCTCAGCCTTGTTTGCCCTCATGCCGTACGATACGAAGGCCCCAAAACAATTGGGCTACGAGCCGATTTGCGCCACACGACAAGAATCTGATAGAGTCGCACCATTTACTTCACCACGCGGATTGCCAAGACTGCATGGGAAGGTCTAGAACTCACCGCAAGTCGCTGCTTTAGCCTCCTCCACCACAAGTTGCTCCCACAGGCTAATGTCGGTCGCAGTCCTGGAAGCGCGAAAAACGCCGACAAATCAATTTGCATGTTGAATGCAACAAGACGGATGAAAAACGCTAGCACGAAACGCATACCCAACGGCCACCTGACCGGCGTATAAATTTCGGTCCCGTCTACGGCCTCGAACGATGTGGAATTGAAACAACTTCGCGAAGACGGGTACACATCTTGGGAGCGTAGCATGGTCCGCAGAGTGAGTGGTAGGTGGAACGACAGAGGTCTGAAACAAAATTCCACTCACCACACACCCCATCACCAAGCAAACGGCGGCGGGCAACGTGTGTGATGTTGTTTCGTATTCGTTTTTTTCCCGGCATTCTCTGTCACTGTGGAGCAGCGACGGTTGCCTACAGGCGACAGACGGACATGCTTGAGGTTCAACGAGTTTTCCGCGGAGGTTGTCTCTCAATACCCTCCCCTCCCGTCTGTAATATCTTCCAGCCCCCAAATCAAACGATATCCAACACGTGCTGTGTACCGGGACGTCACTCACGAGGACGGGAGGCACTGCAACAGCACGTCATCGAAACGGGAAGACAGGGTCCTGCGCGCGAAACAGAAGTGCCAGCGTCGTCGTCGTTGATGATAGCGTTGCCGTTGCGGTTGAACGGGAGACCAAGAAACGTACACAAGGCAGCGAGAAGGCGGCGATGTCGATGAAGGCATTGGTGAGCTTCGACATGGGAAACCCGAAGAACCAACAAGTGCCAACCGGCAGAGTTGATCCGCATGGAAAAGAGGTAAACCGAAAACATTACGAAAGAGGACCCCGCTAGCGTTAGGGGATCCTCAATCAACTTTGGAAAGCACCGGCTTGCCAACCACCGGAATGCTTACAAGGATTGCAGACTGGTGAGCGGTTCGAAAACCCCGGCCGGCAAAGTGCTCAGCTTCGCGGAGGACACCTCCAGACTATCGAGTAGCGGGGTGTCAGCGAAGAGGTCCTCGGGCAGGCCCTCGATGCTGCTGAAGTGCATTGACCTTCAGGGCAGAGACACAAGACAAAACAAAGGAGTATCGAAAGCGAAAGGCCACCAAAAGGAGATGCGTAAGTGTATTGACCCTTAGAACAGACGGGAAACAATTTCAACAGAGTGCATCGAAAGCAAAAGGGCACCAAAAGGAGACGCACAAGTGCATTGAGCTTTGGGACACGGAAAACAAACCAAAACATGATTTCGACGCAAGTTTCGATAGACAAAGGTCGCCAAAAGGAGACACACATTCGACGAGGGGTCGTGATCTTGCTTGCGCTATCAGCGGTATTCTTCCGTCTTCGTCGTGACGACTCTCATCCAAGGATAAACTCAGTGAGGAACGATCCTGCCCGTAGCAAGCTCAATTGTAGGCGGCGGCGCAGGGTAGCCGCATGTGTGAATGGAGGAAGAGCATTTCCTTCTATCCTCAGAATATCGACAATGATTCTGGCATATCACCAATGATTCCGGCATTACTTATTAGCTATCGTGCCAACATCAATTTTCGCCGAGGAGACTCAAACGACCAACACACTTCAATATAATGTTCGAATAAAGGCGGGCGGCAGACCTCCTGCGCTGATAGGACGAGAATGGATGCATAGCAGTGGCAACAAACACAGCGAGACACACGAAACGCCGTCAACGTTTGGGCACACGTAGAATAAGTTTCTCGGGTCTGGTCTTCGCCCCCCTCTCCGATTATGGAAGGTAGTCACGGGGTGGCGTTCGATCCTTGACTTGACAAAAAAAGACACAAATGCGCTACCAATTCTCGATCTTAGGAGAAATACGCACAGCTTCGTGAGCCCCGAGAGGCCGGAGAAAACTCCGGCAGGCAAGTACTCCAGTCCCGTGTAGGACAAGTCCCTGGAGAATGCACAGCAGCACATAGAAAAGCGGACAAACACGGCGCGGCGCCGTTTGTTGAGCTCTCATTCTTGACAACGGACGAGTTTTCGCCAGCCGAGGAGGCGCAATGGATATTGATCAACCTTCACGTCCATGGTGCTTGCTAGTATCCTTGTTCACCCCACAAATGGTTAACGCGAAGGGCGTGGAAGAAACGAGTTATGAGGCCGGTGACGCTTTCGTTTAACACCGTCTGTTTGTTTCCACAGCGACAGACATGAAAGCGTCGAAAAGGGATAAACCCAACTAACCCTTGAGCGTCGAAGGAGAAAGACTATAAAGACCATGGTACAATGCACGCCCTACGACGGTATACTGAGCTCAAGGCGGTCCAGGGTTCACCGACGAGAACGAAAAGGGTGTGCACAAACGTAACACGAAGAACCTCATCAAGAGAAGGAGAGAGAGCTGCTGCGGTCGTCCGTATGGGTTCCCGCACCCTACAAAAAAAAAATCAAAACGACGACTGCTGCTGCGTTGTTGAAACCAATTTTGATGGGGCTGCTGGACACAGAACCAACAACGACGTCGGCAGCGGCAACAACGACAGACATCGTACATGTCAACGACGTTTTCCAGCCCCTCGAAGACTCCCACCGGCAGGGTCGTCAGGTCGTCGTGGAAGGCGATGCGCCTGACGTTTCCAGCGGAACAAACAAAAAGCGTCATCTAAGATGGGGGGAACATGCCTCAAACCGTAGTCGTACCGAGCAACGGCGGTGATCTAGACACTCCTCTTGCAACCAACCTCGGATTGGTTGTGGTCGTCGTCTTCTAGACAATCACTCACAGAATCTCGATGTCGGTCTTGCCGAAGCTCTCGAAGCACGCAGGAAGGTCAGCGGCGTCAGAGTCGACGAAGTTGCAGTTGTTCAAGTCGCTGACGGGGTGGGCCGAGTGGGAAACACGTCCGGACAGCAAAGGCACACACGAAGCACCGTTCAGCTCAGCTCAGGTTGGACTCGAAAGTCAGCGAGCGAGAGAGAGAACAAAGAAGGCAAAGTGTAAAGATCTTGGGTTCGCAAATTTTCCGTTGAATATATGGCTGCTGTTCAGGCTATGGAAACATGTCATTGGCCGCAATCACTCGTGTGCGCGGACCGCTATCAACAACTAGAAGAGGCCTCGTCAGGCGTGCCAGTCGCACTCACATGTAGGCGGGCTGGTCGACGCTAGGTTGGCACCGGTAGTCGTCGCTTGTGCTGTCGAAGCAAGCGTTGATGCCTGCACAACATCAAAAGAAAGCAGAAGAGAGGAGGCTCTGACCACGCCCACCCCGATGGCGGTCATCAGTCTCTCCACAAAAGCGTTGGAACTTTCTCCGCCAGGGTGTCAAGTCGAGCACAACGGTACCAGCAGACGTAGTCAACCACAAGGGGGGGCAGGCATGCAATACTGCTGCATAAAGGAACATGTAGGCGACCACAACGAGGGAGGCGCTTGCGGGTACAGCGGCGGTGGCGGCGTATGTGGTGTCGGTTGGGAATATCTACGGTTTTTCTGGCCAGAGCCGCTCACCGGCAGTCGGCGAGACGGGAGAAGGAGTCGTCGGCATGAAGATGGGAGAGGGAGTCGTGGGGCTGGGTGCCGGCGCGTCACCTTCGTACACCATGATCTCCGTCTGCGAAGAGGAAGGGGTCGTCGAGTAAGAGTGTTTGTTGCCACGCACGAACATCGACAAACGGGTGGCATTCAGGATGAAACGTTTTGCGGTCGGCTTTTGATTTTTTTCGCGGGGAAGGTATGTGTGACGATTGCAAACCCAGCACGATTCACACCAACACATGCAACGCCGAAAACCAAGCCGAACAATCGACGGAAGTTTGTCCCACATTAATAGTTAGCCTTTTCACCAGACTCGTGGTCTTCGATGGAAACAAAGCTAACGGCAACAACAATAAATGGCGGACCTACCTCGATGATGCTCAGCCATTGCGAGTCAGCCTGGTTGTTGCCCGAGATGGTGACGACTTGACCGTACGCTCCAGATAGGTCGACGCTCTCGAACTCGGTCGTTGTCCCCGAGCTCGTCCAGGTGGTCACCAGGGCGCCATCGACAGAGACGTCTACGGTGCGCGTTCTGCTGTCCCCCCTGTACATGACTGTGGGGGGGGGAGAAAGAATCGTGATTTGGCGGGCAGGGATGAAAGAGACCTGAATTGATCTCTTGGATTGTTACGCTTCTATGTAGCTCAAGTCAATAGGCATTTGGACAACAACAAAAAAACGCAAAATGTCAATGTATTGTAGAGCTCAAGATTTTCACGTTGCGACTGGCGCGGCGCTCACCGACAAGCTCCTCGGTAGGAACTACAGGGTATTATTAACTTTCTTGTGTGCGATTATTCAGGGTATCAGTGTACGGTGTATTTCCACACGGAATTTTTGGGGTCATTAGGCGGGTCGGTGCTTACGGAGACGAAGCTGTTCGACGTTGTACGCTGCTCCGAGGTCGTACGAGATGCTGCAAGGGCCACCGAGCTTGGGAGCACACGACCACCTGGAACCTTCAGACATGTCACCGTCCTATCGTAGAAGAACGTTTCACGAGGGGGAGGGGGAGGAAGAGAGAGAGAGAGACATAGAGGGAGAGAGACAGCCAGAGAGAGAGACAGAGAGAGAGAGAGACAGAGAGAGAGAGCAACAGTTAGGTTGACTTTCGGGAAAGGAGATATAGTCCTCATTTCCTTCGGTCCAGCCGCGGAGTTTCTTGCGGTAATCGTGCAGGCCAGAGGGACAAAAACAAACGTCAACAGCGAGACCGTCCAAAAAGGATAGCGTCGGGTGCCGAAATGCCCACCCAGCAACATGTGGAAGCACACTCGTGAAACCTGGACAAACGGGGGCGGCACCACATTCAACGCAGCCTCAGAGCAGACGAGACACAGACATACCCTCGTAAGCGCTGCCGTGCACCCTTCAGGATCACAGCCCACGGTGTCTCCGAGGCGAGTGTCGTAGAGATCAGCCGTGGCCGTCACCGTTCCCATCTCGGCAGCCTCGACAACGTCCAAGACCACGACGGTGTCGTCGTCGACAGTGCCGTCGTCGACGTCTATCTCCACCTGCGATGATGTGAGCATGCAAAAACGTTTCGTGCCGCAGACGTGGTTGAGGCAGGTTTGCCGCAGGCCCGAATGGCGGCTCGATGTGCAACTACAGTGTTCGCCACAACCAAGAGCGTTGCCCCCATCGACCCTTCATGTAGTAGTATTTTCAAGTATTGCTCTGTGGATGCCGCCACACAGATGAAAAAAGTCTGAAACGCTTCGCCACAAAAAAAAAGTGTACAAAAACCACGAAACGAAACCCACTGCACAGATGGACATTCGCACCTCCAAGATGCTGAGCCACTCCATGTCATTCAGGACCCCGACCAGCTCGACGACTTGCCCTTGGTCAAAGAGCAAGACGCTTTCGAAGCCGGTGGTCGTGCCCGAGCTTGTCCAGGTAGTGATGTGGCGGCCGTCCACGTAAATGTCCATCGTTCGCGTCCGGGTGTCCCCCTTGTACAGCGCTGCGACGCGGCAAGGTGGTTATCAAAAGCAGGCGGTATGTGTGTCGGGCGTGCACTACTGTACCTGTAGGATCCTTCCACATAGTCTACTATTGCTGTAGAGCGGCTGGTCTAGGTTGAAAGAAAACAAATGTGGCGCCCTCTCCACTCTGCTGGGAACGCCTCCTTCCTCTCGGCTGCCACTGCCCCCTCTGCTTCCTGGCAAGTCTACCTACCCGGGAAGTTCTACAAGCAAGCGCAGTCCATTTCGAAGGCCATGGGCGGCGATTGTCATCTACTTCTATCGCATTGCAGCAGTGTGCAACATCACCCCAAGAGCGCGATCGTTATGTAAGTGCGGAGTGCTTCATTCTGGCAGGGGCCAAACAAGGGTTTAGGTCTACTTGGGTACGTATGATACTCCATGACCAAAACCTCGACCGCGTCACAGCAGTATTAGTCCCGAGCGGCAAAAACTCAGATTCCTGGGAACGAAATAACTCATGTCTCGTGTACACACCCGCGGGATCCACGGGGTATTTTTATTTACTCCTTAAATCAAGGGGGTATTATTTTCCTTGATTTGTAACACCCCGTTGTTGTAACGGCCGGGTTGTTTTTCTTGTGCGGCGGTACGGTAGCACCCTTCCTTCCCATCGTCGGGAAAAAAAATACGCTGAAGAGGCTGGTTTGTGGCAAGGCTCTTCGCACGACCTTCAAAAGATTCCGTATGTTGAAAACGAATCTATTGTGCTGACCAAGGGTGCACGAAAAACAACACTTCTTCAACACGTGGAAACCCATTTTGATATTTTGACATTTTTCGAGGGTTACCGGTGGTCAAACTCCTACATAAAGCAAAGGGGGCCCGCAGTGGGGTACCGTATATTCTTGGGGTACGTAACCGTTCGCGAAGAGTGGGTCCCATGTACGGTAGTAGCTGGGGGCATGATACAAAAAACGGGCACACTACTAACAGAAGTACATTAAGAGAGCACCTCACCCACTAAATAATATGCGCGTAGCATCGTCATGTACTGTATGCATAATACCACACATGTGTCCCCCATGGGCACTAGACTACGGCTGTAACCCCCAGAGGAAAGTCGGCCCTTTTCGGCCCTTTTCGGCTCTTCGGGGTGCCTACCGGTATGTATGTGTGCGTCATGACATTTTTTTACGTTTCTTTGTTGAAGGAAATGAATCCATCTATAGTGTTGTGCTGATGACCTCAATGATGTGTGTTCCGAACGCTTACCTATCCTGATGTCTCCGAGGTACTCCACCTTTTCCAGCGTGAACGTGATTGAGCACCCAGAGCCGGAGGTGTCCAGGGAAGGGCGACACGACCAGCGAGATTCATCGCTCATGTCGCCATCCTGGAAAAAAAATCAATCGAAAATACAGGAAACAGACGAGTGAGTGTTGTCCACAGGCGGTTGCGCAAATTGTTCTTGCGAAAAGCCGGAGGCGGAGATGGACCGCCACAGCAGTCGCACACGCGCGCGGCCCTTCCTGAGGAGCAATCTCGAGGAGCAAGAAGCGTTTCGCAATCCAGGCACGGCTTCGCGGCGTCCCAGACGCGTCTGGCCACCATCGCCATCTGCTTGGTACAAACTGGGTTTATCAGGAGATGGATTATCCGAGGACATGCGCAACATTTGTTCTTGTACGTCTTGTACATAGCAAAACAGAATACTGCTGTGGTGATTAGGTTCAACAGCAGTGGTTGTACTGGGTGCAACTGATTGTACCGCACAGCAGTCCAGTGTGCTGGACACATGCCTCGCGCTGCTGCTGTGTTGCTACAGTCAGTGCATAGCCTCATACGCACTCACTCTCGTGTTGGCGGCTACACAGCCGTCGGGCGGACAACCGTAGGGCAAGGTCGAACGAGTGTCGAACACGGACGCCTCCGGAGTTACGCCCATGACGGTGCCAGCTTCGTAATTGCCATACACAGCCCGCGAACTCGCTACTGCTGCCGCCAGCGTCGCCCAGCTACGACGTGAGAGGACCATGGTTTCTTTGCGCGCGCGCGATAGAAAGAGAGAGAGAGAGAGAGAAAGAGAGAGAGAGAGAGAGAGAGAGAGAGAGAGAGAGAGAGAGAGAGAGAGAGTACGCTACCGTATGCCTTGGGATTCTGGCGGGTGGTGCAAGTGTGAGTGAGTGGTGTTGGGGTGTGTACAACGCACGGAGCATTCTTCTACCTGATCCCGGCGTGTCTAAATACCCCGAACAGGCCAAGTATTCCCTCCGCATATCTCGGAAACTCGAAACTCGCCAAACGGAACTCTGCCTTCTGCAGGCGACACGAGAGGCGCACTGCTTGTGTTTCTCTCGCCCTACAACATTCCAATCGACACAGGACATCCATATCTGTGATTCCGTGTGACAGGGCTACCGTGGGGGCCATCATATAGCTCAAAAGGGCCCGTTTTGGTGGGGCCACCGCCAGTGGGGTAGCTATTCATGCCGGGGTAAATCACGCATGACGGCGGGGTAAATCATTAGTTTAAATAGTCCGCACATACATGGTACCGCGCGGCCCATGTGGGGTGAAACGGTGAAATACCCCGCTGGATCTCGCCCTATTCACAACTCGAACCGCAAAACAAGCGCCGTGGTTAGGAGTGTGTGGTGGATGCACACGCAGCGCACACCAGCGGGCTACAGGAGGAGGGGGGACAGATCATGCAATGCCTTCGGACATGCATATATATGCACATTACATGCATACCACACAATGCACCTTCACACCCAGGCCCGTTGATGAAACCATCTGCCAACAGCAGTCCGCGAGGTGGTTACTCCTCAAGTGTTGGCAAGGACACACACGCGTTATATTGTAAATTTTCAATTTTCTGTCAGTCCTTGAACGCGAACGGCAGCTTAGGGCTTATACAAGCGAGATTTTCTTGCAAAGTGAGTTTTTCTCTCGCTTCCGCTCCTGGCCTAGTGGATAGCGCTAGTTCGTGTGTACACAGAGGGAGGAGAGTGCTGAACTCTTCTCGCATTTCAAATCGAAGCCATAGGACCGCAGGAGGGGACGGTAGAGACGGGCTCTTCTGTGTGACCACGGGCTGGAGTAAACGCCACTATAATAGTGCTGTGCGCTGAAGACATAAAAAAACAAAAAACTAGAGCTGAGGTGACACATAATAATGGCAAACGGTCTCTCCAAATAGATCAAGCTAGTTATTGGAGTTGCGACATCCAATAGCTGTCTACCTTTGGGTTCGGGGAGATATGTGGCGTTAGGCAGTATTTGTGCATCAACGCTCAGGATACACATACAAGCACGTAGAAGCAACAGAGCACTATAATATTTTCGACACAGGTCTCGTGATAATGTCTTTTCACGACACCGATCGAAAGGAATCACGTTCACTGTTTTCCCACGGGTTCCAGCTGTCACGCAAGCCCTCGTTCGTGCCTGAGTGACTGTGTTTGCCGAGATGTGGCCGAACACGATATTACAACACCACCTCCGCGGTGTCGTACATGAGCTTATCCACGACACCGCTCGAAACCTTTTGAAAACACCTCAAACGGGGGCGACACAACCTTCTCTGAGGCCCCATGGCCCTGGCTGACGCACAAGTCACCGTTCGGCCCCAACCGGTATGTTCTTGCCGAGTTGCCCCAACGCGATGTCTCACCAACACCTCGGCGGTGTCGTCGATAAGCGTATCCACGACACCGCTCGAAACATTTCGAAACCACCTCAAATGGGCACGACAACCTTCTCTGAGTCCCCACGCCCTTCTCAGCTGGCGCAAAAGTCGTCGTTAGGTCTAAACCGACACGTGGTTGCCGAGATACGTCCAGGAATGAGGCCACACGCTGCCATGCCTTGTTTCCCCCGGCTGCCTCGTTTCTAACCTATTCCCATTCGTCAGTTTTTCGCGACACTCGTGGCGAGTCTTCAACATTGTTCTGATGAGCGAGCGGCTGATCAGCGTCCGACCACGACTACACCCTTCCTTCTGAATTACGCGCTCGGCGAGGTTCCCCCCGCTTGCCATACCCGTAGCCCCCCCGATACGTAATGGATTTTGCGCATAGTGTCGGAGGTTTCACAACGACTCGGCAACAACATCTCTTGGGGCACTCAGCGTTCTGGTGTACTTCATCTCTAGTACATCATGTCGCCGTGTGACGATGGCGGTACGGGTTCGGGCAACGTCGCATGACACGATAAATGTCTAGACCAAGAGCGACTGCCCCGCCGCTCGCTCTTACCCCCGACTGCGGTCGGCTAACGCAATCCCGTGTTGCACAAGACCGATCGCTCTCTCATCCTGATCGCCTTTGTGTCCTCTAAAACCAAGACCCATCCGGCCTGCCTTGCGGCAAGTGCGGGTGTGTTACACCGGCATCGTTCGCGCCAAAACTACTCGTGTCGGCGAGCTTCAGACCTAGGCACAGGCACATCATCACCCGTCCTCGACCCCGGCTTCGGATTCTGCATTCCGCGTCTCGCAACATACTCCAGGATGCGGTTCGGCGCAAGCGACGCGGGGTGCCTAGCAAGAACCACGGGTTCCTCGCAATCCCCCGCAATGTGCACATTAACACCGGCGAGATATCCAACTCAATGGACTCTTCCGCCCTTTGGTGGAAATGCACGCCTCGAGCTTCCCTGAAATCCTGCCAGAGGATCATGCGAAAAAGGTCAGTCAACTCCCATTCCCTGTAGTCATCTGAGCCGCCTGTACAGACAACCAGCGGCTTGCCTAGCGATCCCCGAAACGTGCACCATGACTGAAACCCAACGCATATGTGCTTCTAGACGAAAGGCGGTGCATTTGATTTGTAAACCGACGAGCTGACGCCCAGGCCCCAGGCGAGACCCCGTCCCACCTGCTCCAGGTCTTGCGCCTGATGTGCCCGGGAAGGTTTTGTTTTTGCCGTTTTCGGACCGGAAGAAGGACGATGCCCGGTCTCCCCGCTGTTGCTGTCTGTGCCACTGCCGCTGGCCCCGCCACTAGCACGACCCTGATTCTCTCGGGCGTCCACCGCGAGCGCACGGCCGTGTTGACTGGCTTCCCTGGCCGCCCTGAGCAAGTAGCCTTCATAGGGGTTTTCGATAAAGTTGACGTGTCGGAACAAAACTTGAAGTTGGGGAAGCTAGGGTTGTGGGTTGGGTCTGCGTATCCGCTCCCTGTAATATTTCCTCATTCACTGAGTTTCTCGCGAAGGCAGTCCCCCTGAGCATGGGGTCCTTGGAGTGCACGAACTCGGCCATTCATTGGTGCCCTCGCAGCCCGCCGAGTTTGTACGCAAAATCAAGACCGACCGCGTATCGCAGAGGCGCGTTACGCCCGGTTCACCCAGTTTCCCTTGCTGTCCGATGCCGGTTCTTCCTCGCGCGCATGCGAATGGTCGGGAAAATGGTGAAGTCGGGCAGGGAGGGCGAGCGGCGGTGACCAGCCCCCCGGTAGCGATGAAGATCCGCGCGCGGGAGAACTTGGGGCAAGAGACAGCGTTCGACGCCGTCCGGAGTGGCGATGTGACGACCTTTCATGACCATTGATTGCGGCGGAAACCCCGTTCGTTGGCGAGGATCCTGAACTCTTCGTCGAGGAAACGATCAGAGTCGGGGCCTGCTGGCATCGATCCCCGACGTGTCGTCGGGATGCTTGCGTCCGCGGACGCGGAGAATCCTGCTGGAGGGTGTCTTCTCGAGAACGCGAAGAAGCCGCGCCAGGCTCTCGGTGGCGATAACGCCCTCGCCCAAGGCTTTTGGGGAAGGTCTCGATCTGGATTTCTAGGGAGTCGTCCACTTCGACCGCCCCCGTGTTGCCATGTGCCAGTCCGAGACGCGGAAACGCGCGAGTGTATTCAGCGCCGACGAAACCTGCGGGCTAACAGTGTGAACGTACGTCTAGAAATCAACCTTGCTCGCCACTGGGACGCCTGGAGGGTGCCCATCACCCGGCGTTGGGCAAGGATGTTCCAAGCCATGCGCGTGTGCTAATATTTTTCCGGTCCGCCATGGCGCTTCCTTTAGGGCCGCCTTCTGAACAGTTGCAGGCGGTGGCACCGGCGCAGCACCGGCCGGTGGCGGCCGCTGTGTCCCTACCATGATCTCGGTCTCCTCCGACAACCCCCCCTCCGACGCCGCGGAGATTGCTGTTGGCGAGGTAATCGATGTGCGCCTGCATATGATCAACAACCCCGCGGTGTTCATCCTCCCGCTGCTCTAACTTCTCTGCCTATTCTTGAAGCTGCCGTTGCATGGCTTCCATTTGGGACGGACCCTTGGGCCGGGAGCGAGCAGCGCGTGCCGTACGATGCGGTGCAGCCTCCCCACGCGACGGCCGGAGCGGATGGTCGCCCGCCCTGCCCCAGACCTAGGTCTTCTTTGTGGACGCAGAATCCGCCGCGCCCCCCCCTCCACGACGTCAACTCGTACGGGACGATGACCGGGTGACTCGCGCCCTCGTGGCAGCTCGTGGCGGCATATCTGGGCATGTTGAAAAACTACGGGCGACCAATGTTTCAAAGCATTGGGGTCAGATGTACAGACGTACAAGCGAAGAGTTTTGATGCACTCTGGATCCGACTAACCGGCTAAGTATGCGGTTGCAGCCATGGTGATGGGCTGCCCATGGGCTGGGTGCCCTGGTGAGTGCTGGGTGCCCGTGATGGACATTTTGGGCATGCCCATAGGCATGCAGTGGGCTGCTCATCGTGAGCCTGTGGGCTTGCCCATGGACACAGCTGACCACGGGCTGTCCATAAGCCCATAGGCTGATTCACAAAAAACACCGAACGTGTGGGAGACCCGAAGCACCGTCGAAACATCGATGGCTGCAGATTGTCCGAAAGAAACAAGATCTTATTGGAAGTATTGCTCCTTCTGGGCGACAAGAAAGACACGATACATCGCGCCAGCCAAAAATGGTTACGCGATTCCAATGGCAACGGGGAATAAATACCGTTTCTGAGAAGTTGAGTAGCGTGAACACCATGAAAGAAAGAACGCCATCTCAGGAATTTATGTCAGTTTTTCCGTGTTTCTATTTTAATTTTTTGTTCGGGTGCAGCGGACAGCGGGGGTTTTCGTAGCAAGTTTGAGCGAAGGCGGCTAGACTCTTCACGCGATCGATGCGTTGTTGGCTCCGTAGAGGGACTCTCTGTGTGACGCTGTATCGGCGAGAGGGAAGAAAGAAAGTGTTGTCGGTAACCGACGATGTGTGGTCGGTAACCGACGATGGACAACCTTATAGACTAGGGCAATATCCTACGAAGAGCAGATGTGGAGGGGCGAAACAAAATGCAGCAGGCCGGGTCCGAACCAGGCACGACCCAGGAACCAGTACTACGTTAAACGTGTTGTGGGATTACACGCGTAGCGATCCGTGAAGATTCTGATGAAGACTCACTTGGTTATTACTCTCTTGGAACGGCAGTGCTTCCTGTTGCTTTGCTCTCAAAGGTAGACTGAGCACAGAGGGGGAAGACATGCTCCCTCTAAAAGGGGCCACAAACGTCCTGTCCCCTGTTTTATCCTCCCATCGGAAGTTACATCTCCCGCACTTTCCTCTGGGAATTACTCCGCAATACCGTGGACGCAGGCTACAATTCAAATCCAATAACAATCGGAAGCAACCCCCCTATCCCGGGTATTTTTCTTTTTTTCCGTTTGGGTGACAAATCGCGTCTTGGAGGACTCTTCCGGGGTCCATGTTTACTTGATTTCTAGAAAAAAGATGTACCCCCTTTTGGGGGTGGTCGGCTTGTGACCACGAAGAAGGAAGAAGGTGTCCGCGTCAGTTGGGCCAGTACATTACAATAAGGCACTGAGCGGAGACAGAGGTTGTTACAAGCTCACAACCACTCCTTCCCTCCATCTACTTGGCGCATACATACTCGGAGTACTCGTTTTTCCACACCCAGTTGTACACCAGTACCATCAACTGGATCATCCCCTTGCCCCCAAACTTCACGAACTCGTTGACTATCCCATCCGCCCCTGCTGCTTTGTGGCACTGCAGCTTGTTCACACACGCTTCAACCTCGTCCTCAGTGAACTCTTTTTCTAGTTCTACGTTCCCAACGTCTGTCTTCGATGTCTCTTCTTCTTTCTGGGCCCATGCGTCCACCTCCTCCTTCTTAAACACTTGGTTGGTCAAAATCTTCATTCTCCGAAGGCACTCCAAGTCTCTTGTAGTGTCCTGCTAGAACTTCCCTTTTTCCCTTCCCACTGCTGACTAGTCCACCGTTCACACCTCGCAAAGTTCTACCCCTGTATCCCAGAGGGGGGGGGGGGGGTTGGTCCCATCCCCTCTTTTCGGGCGTTTCCCACATTATTACGCCTAGGGAATATTAGAGGTTCATCAATTGAAACCCGGGCACGGACGACAGACCTCGTTTGTTTTTAAACTTCGCACCCGGTGTTTTAATTGACTTACTGACACCCCGTTGATTTTTTAGAGGTTGGAAGTGGGTCCTACTAGCGTCGTCCCCCCCCCCCCCCCCAAATTTTCGTCTTTAACGCAGCATGAACCCGCCCGTGCCGGGGTGGGTCGGGTAGTGTCTGGTTGGGTAGGGGTTGGGTTGGGGTTGGGTCGTCGCCGTCGCTCGCACCGCCGTCGCTTCGTCGTTCGTCGCCGTCGGGTTGGGTTGGGTAGGGTTGGGTTTGGTCGGTCGGTCGGCCAGTCGATCAGGCGTCCTTGGGCCGCCTTCGTCGATCGCGCCGCCGTCGCTCCGTCGATCACCGCCGTCGATCGCCCTTGCCTTGTATTATATATATATTTTTATATATGCATATATATGCCGACGGAGAAGTACATATTATTTTGTTTATGGTGTGCGTACATACGGGGAAGTACATATTATTTAGTTGATGATGCGCGTACATCAAATATGTATGTATGTATGAATGTATGTATGTACCCAAAGCAACGGAAGCAAACAGATCACAAGCAGCCTCTGAGGGAGATAATTAGAAGTAGACTAGGGTACATACATAGTGCTACCCTGCGCGCGCGCGGTGTGTCGACTTGTCGACTTGTGGATACATCGCGAACGGGTATTTTTTGGCGGTGTTTGTACATTTACTTGGTCCTAATTCTCTCGCATTCTCATTCTCATTCAGTCAAGAATTTTGTTGTCATCTCCGCTTCAAAATTTGTTATTTCTCCGATCTTTTTTTTTTTTACTCGTGAAGATACCCCGACGTCCCATCATCCATCTGGACCCTCTCTCGTCCTCCCTCTCTCATTCACACGAACGCACGCACCCTTCACTCTCACACACGCTCCTCCTCTCTCTGGTTCATCTTTTGATTCTACCCAAGCTTACCGTGGGTCAACGGACGTCAGCACAGCACTGTAGTACGAAAACAGCAATCAAATGGTGCCTCTCAGGTGAGTGAGGTGTTTACTGGTGGGATGAAGTCTACACCCGGACGAGACGGATGGGGTTTGGGAGGACTCCCACCCTGAGTGGTAGCGACCCTCGGCCCTGGCCATTGGTGGAACAAACGTCGGTTCCGATGAAAACTGATTGACAGAGACTCCGTACAGAGCTACAATGAAAACTGATTGACAGAGACTCTGTACATGTAGCGCTTGCGGTTCGTCGTCGTCGTCAATTTCTCAATTTCTCGCGAATAATTCTCATCAGCCAATTCTTCTGCAAACCAACGGCTTTCGGAGCCACGGCAATGTTCTCGTGAAGGCTGTCAGACACCTGCCGTGTATCATAGCTATAGAGGTGGCTTTACAGATAGCCGATGTTATATTGTTGTACCGGCACGTTGCCACCAGCGTCGTCTGTTTCGGTTTTCGGTGCCAGCGTGCCAACACACTTTTCAGTAAGGAGACCGCAACAAGATTCAACGTGCGGCGTATCCATCAATTAGACCGAGGAGCCGACAAGCGGGTTATAGCGGGTTATTCTTATTCTCAATTCTGCGAAGCACGAGGAAGCACATAAATTACGTCGTGAGATCGTACGTGTGGGGTGTAAATCGCTCACAGCAGCAGTGCACGCATTGAGTGTTACCGCACCTGTATGTACTTCACCGTCAAATTTCGGTGAAGAATTTTCAGCGCCGATTCAAGCATCCAAATCGAACCTCCATGACCGTCAGGGTAGCCACAGAATAACTCAAGCAGCATGACCGTCAGGGTTCGCTAGCCACAGAACAATTCAAGCAGGGTACTGATGTCGACAACAACCTTGCAAACACCCTGCTTACGGCCCAACCTCCTGGAGATGTGCTCACGGATCATGCATAGCACGGACGCTGAATATTTTCCAACTCGAGCAGGGTTGGTTTTTCGGCGGTCGTACATTCGAACGGAGACTACTGCTGTACACAGTACTGTGTACTTCAACCGGATGCAATCAGTTTTTACTTAACTCTGTACAGGGCCCTCAGTAGCGCCGGTTGCATAGTCCCTATGCCCGGAATAATGCCGGTCAAACCTCTCGGCCCGAGTGTCCACTCCTGTATTACTGCTGTAAAACCTTATATCCCTGTTCTAGATGCATGTAGCAGTTCCGGCTGGACACCGGACACCGGACGCCATTTCTGAACTCGGAGAATGAATAGTATAGATACGCTGTATTTTCAAAGTACTCACGGGACTTGGCGAACTACATAGTCTGATCCATACGGGCACTACTGTACGGAGGGCCCTCTACTGCTGCTGTATTTCATTAACGCCGTAGCATATCTCGAATGGGAAAGTTTTATTATTCCTTAATAATTCTATCAAGGAAAATAGCCCCCTCTAGTTCCCGTAATCCATTCGTTTACCTCTTCCTCCCCATTTAGGGCCGGCAACACTTCTCACTTCTTTGTCTCGGTGAGCTTTGACGCTCACAGCCCGCTTCTACGGGAGCGCCGAACGGCCAAAGAGCGCCGGTTGACGTGTGGGAGACGAAATACTGCTGTGCGACGAAGCGTATATATCACATGGGGACATCATGCCGCGCCAAGCTTGCCAAAGATGATGGTGATACGCATAAGGATGAAGTTGTATTGTCTTGAGACATGAGAAAATAAATCAGCGTGCCACAGTCTCACCCGACCAACGTCTGCCTCTCTCGTCCTATCCCCGCCGCTGATTGGCCCCACATCGCAGCAAGATCTCTGCCGCCGCTCTCCTCCTGGTCTCAGGCAGCGTCTGCCAAGGGCAGCTTGAAACATGCCAGGACCTTCTGGACGCCTTCGCGTTGACAGCGTCGCAGGTATTGTACACGAAACAAGTCGTCAAATATCGTCACAAACCTCAATTAATTGTAGAGTTGCGCATAACAGGTGCATTACGGGTGTATCGAAAAAACGTCTGTTTATGGCGAGATCTACTTTGTACGCCGGCGCCCATGAAAACCATCACACGTCGCCGGTAGGGCTAAAGTCTGAACAGATGTCGGGAGAGAGAGGGAGAACGTCCTGCCCGAGGGTGACGGCGGGGCGGCGCCCTGCAACCCAACCAAATTGAACGACATGGCATTAGAGCGGAACATGGGGCGCTTTATACCGAGGGGAACGTTTGCCCGTCCGGTTTTATGAGGAGGGTGCAAGGGGAGGGACGGGGAGTCAACGTGCTGAATCTTCGAAACGCGACACGATGGGGAGCTTAAAACCGTACTCGCACAACTATTAGGGATTGCAGTAGTGTGCTTGATACCACGTACCGTACCGTGTAGATTCCCCCGGCCACGACAACAACCTCGAACCGTCCCAACAAAGAATGATACCACGTACCGTACCGTGTAGATTCCGCCGGCCACGACAACAACCTCGAACCATTCCAACAAGAACGGCCAGCCTATCTTTTGAAGTTTCGCATACTTTCTAATAACACACACGCCTCGGTGTCTTGCGCGCAGGACGTGGTGGTGGAGATCCAGCCCGGCCAGGACATCACCTGCGACAGCTTCACGACCATGAGCATGTCGGCGAACAGCCTGACGGTGATGACCCCCGACGGACAGTCCGGCAGCGTCGGCCTCAACGAGGTCCGCTTCGAGGTCACCGACGGAGCGAAGCTCTTGTGGTACCCGGGGGCCTCGTTCACCGGGACTGAGTACCAAGACGTCAACGGCGGTGCGGTGAGTTGATTTTTTTTTCCGTCTTGATTTTAGTGTTGGCCGTCTGTCTTCGTGTGTAAGGTGCACCGCGCGAGCAGGTTCAGTTTCGCCACGTGTTGGTTGTGTTTGTTGGGTAATTGAGCAATAAATCCATCTAGATAATAATTGTTTAGGATAAGATTGACGTCTTCTTTCTACATGTATTGATGGACGAATTTTGAGAAAAAAACACCGGCAGTAACAACGAGAACACTGCTGCCTTTTTTTTTGTGGCGATGGGCGAATTTTCGATATATCACAGGCAGAGTCGTTAGCAGAGCCCGATCAGCAACACTTTCTCATGCTCGCCCTCCTAAGACATTGTGAAGGCGATTTTTTTTATTTTCGGACCCCAGGGCAGTCAGTAGTAGTGCCCAATGAGGAAACATTGCCTCATGCTTGCCCTCCTAAGACATTGTGAAGGCGAATTTCCGAGGTACTGGGCACACCATAGGTGTCCAATCAGCAGCGCTGCCTCATGCTTGGCATCCGAAGACGTTGTGAAGGCGAGCTTTCGGGAGGTCGGACACGGGCAGTGGGTAGTAGTAGTGTCCCACCAACAACACTGCATTATGCTTGCCCTCGCAAGACTTTTCGAATACTGATACCCTTCCCAACACACTAACGATCTACAGGTGTACGTTGGAGAAGGCTCATCGGCCCGGTTCTACGACACCCTTACCACGTCCGAGGTGGGAGTGCGAAGCGTGCCTGAGGAAGGCTCCGACTTCGCCAGCTACCAACTCATCGGAGGGTGCGTGCGTGCGTGCGTGCCTCCTCCTCCTTTGTTGTATGCTTACCTCCCTTGTTCTTTTTTTGTTCTACCCGGTTTCCCTTGCGTGTTTCGTTCTATCCCATGGTGTTGTGCCATTATGGGTGTACCATTCATAGATGGGTCGCCCCGCGTGACGTCGTCTTCTCTTGTCTGGTGATGGTGATGGTGATGGTGATGTCCAATCCGCGTGCCGCCGTATTCTCGTGTCTGGCGACGATTAGTCTAGATCGAAACCGTCTCGTCGACCGCAGTTGCCTACTGTATACTTCGAAGTATACGCATATCTTGCGGTGCCCACAGTGTTCTTTCCTTCGTATCGCTCGCCTCCTCTTGGTACCCTTCTTTTATTGGACAAATTTGACGATTCAGACATCACACTGCTGAGGTGGTATAGAATTTGACCAAAACAAATACCCCGCCGGTGGGGCATAAAAGATTAATAGCGTGTGTTGTTCGCGTTTTCTTAGGTTCCCAAGGTGGGGGCGCAGTATCCGCTCTTCTTATGTCGAGAACGCAGCAATGGCTGTTACTCTATCCCATATGGACTCTCGCAGCAATGCACCATTTTCGATTTTCCCCACAGACGGACGTGCCCGGCAAAACCACCAACAATCTCCCCGCAACCAACCTCGAAACAGGTGCGTATACGTGGACGGTTACTTCCGTGTGGAGGGACACGCCTCCTTCGTCGGCTGCGAAAACTCGGGCGGAGGGGAGAGCTCGCCGGGGCCCGGCGGCGTGATGTACGTCGGGGAGACCGGGTCCGTGCTGTTCGCGGGAGAGGTGACGATGCAAGACGTGTCCATCATCGACGACGAGGGTAACAACGGAGGGGGGATCTACAACCTCGGCAAGGTGTGGAGTGTTTTTTTGGTCGGCGGCAGAGCGAAGGGAGAGGGAGAAACTGCAGACAGACAGACAGACAAAAGGAGAGAGACAGCCGGAGATCTAGAGAGACGCACAGACAGACAGATGGAAACATACACAGATAGATATTGACAGAGAAACAGAAGAGACAGAGAGAGACCGAGAACGGGGTGGGTGTGTGGGTGTGTGGTGTACAACCAGAATGGTGGTGTTGTTGATCTTCATGTCCGTCTTCGCGGCTTGTTTCGTTTTGTTAAACTTGTCCGTTATCCCATGCAGTTTCAGCGCCTCATTTTGGCTCTGCCCATCGAGACTTATCATCCGCGGCTGGCCTCTCTCTTGCTGTGAAGACCTCGGCGGGCGGGGTCACACAAGATAATTCTTGCGCGGCTCATGCCTTCATTTGCAGCAAGTTTGTTTTCGTGCGGAAGCATGTGCACGCCCGCTCCGAGGGTATTATAATAGCTTCGATTGTTCACCCTGATGACATTTCATGATGGCACACCACACCTGAACAAGGACGACGCCTTCACCGTTTCGCCGCGAAAAAACAAACAAACACAGGTCAACATCAAGGGAAACGCCGTGTTCCAGAACCTGCGGGCGGAGGCCGGAGGGGCCATCTTCAACGGCTCTGGGGCGGAGTTCAGGTTCAAGAAGGGGGCCACCGCCGACTTCATCGACTGCCTGTCCTTCGACGGCATCGGCGGGGCCGTCTTCAACGCGGGCTACTTCAAGCTGTCCGGCCCCGCCGAGGTCGTCGAGTGCCGCGCCCCGACCTTCGTTGTCGGGAGCAGCGGATACACGAGGCTGTCGGAGGGGTCCGTCTTCAACGGCGACGGTTCCGACTACCCCGAGCCCATCATGTTCGTCATGGAGGGGGGAAGGCTCACGGGCGTGGGGAAGGTCACGTTCGACAACGCCGCGGACACGGGCTGCGGCACCGTGTACTACGAAGAAGGAGACGTGTGCTACTCGTAGAGAAAGTTATCCGTCGTCTACCGACGGTTATACCGTAAGTTAGTGCGTGTAGCCAACAAGGAATCACCCAGATAGACATGTTAGGCGGGGGCAGTGAGCTTCGTGGATGGCAAGTCAGGTGTTTCCGGAGCCAGCCGCGTAGTTGCTTGTTTTACGACGTCGGCGCTTTATAGCCGGACGGAGCGATACGTTGGCCGGCTTTGGTCGTTTAAAGGTACCGGGTGCGTTGGCGTTGGCGTCCTATCAAGGGAGTTGGGGAAGCCGGTACGAAGTGTGTAAGATTATGTTTTTGTTGTTGTTGTTGTCGTTGTCACTTGATAAATTCGGCGGCCTGCTTAGCCGTCGTACCTTCCAAGACCCACACCGGCCATACTGACGCGGGCGCCTATGCTGTAGACGAAGTTGGAAGGACAGGTTTGTTGTGATGCAGAATAGACAGAACAGCAGCAGTTCGTTGTTTCCTTGAACTTCGTTGCTTCTTGGCGGTTAGTGTGGGTACGCGGACGAAGGTACCCTGGCGAGAAAAAAAGTTGCTCACGACGACTACTGCTGTACTTAAGTCGAAATTAAGGGTTCACGCGGAAGGTCTTATCGCGCGAGAGAGCGCAGAGCAGAGACAAGATGTAAGGTGGACACATTGTAACGGTAAATTGTAAACACTAGATATACTTACTAAAAACATCGGGCAGGTGATTAAAACACGGGGCGAGTTAGTCTACGGAAAGAGAGGACGTATCACTGCCCTGTAATTGACGTGTGGATACGTCGTTTGCGCGCGCAATGGCGAGACAAGTATTGTTGAAAGTGGTTGCCACATGAAACAGGGGCGCAATAATCATCGGCATGTTGGAGGCGTGGTTTTGAATTGAAGGTCCCGTGGATGCTTCTAGTATCCATAGAACAGTCTAGGGTTCGCAGAGTTCAACACCGAAGCCACGAGGTTCTAGAACAAGTAGAACGTTTGCAACTATGCGAGACAAATAGTGACGCTTTGGGGTTGTCATGACAATTGTCATGACAAATGTCATGAACACATGATGACCTATCCGATCATGATGCAGTTATGACATGATGTTTTTCATGACAAAGCCAACACTGCTAAAGTCCCGTCGAGGAAATCTTGGCAGCGACACAGATGGTCGACTGATAATGAGGATTCACAAGATGACTGGTTACTCCGAACCAACAACGTTTGGTTGCTTCCCAACACTCGATCGAATGAAATATTCATGAATATATCGTTTGAACATTTTATTAAATTGGTTTTTGGGGGTTTTAGAGGACACGTCGTGACTCAAAAACCAAGTCCTATGTTTTTCGTTCGAATTGCTTCGTGTCTGTCTTGTCGGTTTCTAGATCACCGGGGACAGAGAGAAAAGGGGGGGAGGAATCAGCCGTAGAAAAACATGTCTGATTCTGATTCCCCCTCAACACTGCATCTCTCTCTCTCTCTCTCCCTCTCTCTCTCTCTCTGCTCACAAGATGCACGTAGAGATAGTATAGGAACCATACCCCACCTGCGACCAACGTGTTTAGGTGTCATGTCATGCCCGAGAAAGCACACTCAGAGAGACAACACAGACTGCAGCCTTCAAAACTGGGCAAAACAACTCTAGCCTAGCAGCTTGCACTGACGAGTGGGAAGGACCAGTGATTGGGTCGACCCTGATTCAAGCTGTGCTGCTTTTGTCGAAGCCACACAGACTCAAGTTGTCCCCACAAACATGCATGCAAACATTCTTCCTACGCAACTGTCCATGGCTTCGATAGCCGCAGGTTCGCAACAAACACGGAAGCAAAATAGGAGCAGGAATACCACCCGCGCATGGGCAACCACGCAGATCGCCTCTGTACCGTGAAAAAATACGTCTAAACGGATACATAACAGAAATCAGCATCCTGCAACAGTAGTGCTGCCGTGGACTGCGCTTTGACAGCCGACCCATTCGACACAGGCACAGCAGCACATTACAGCAAGCAGCTTCCTGACTCAAATCATGCAACCATGTATCCGACGATACAATGCACTTTCCAACTACGACGAGATTGCGCGATCCGTTACTTCAGGCACATGCACCCCTCGGTACGTTCGAGGAACCAGTTCAACTAGTCTCAGCACTTTCAGCAAGCAGTTTCCTGACACAAAACTATCAACCATGCTTCCGACGATACATTTCACGTTCCAACTAAGACAACAGTGCGCGTTAAGACGCTTGCACATCTCCGTAGATACCTTCGAGGAACCAGGTTAATCATTGTCTCTATCATGTCCCGGGGGCTCTAGATGTAAACGCTACAATCGTGAACCAGCCTGACGGGAAAACGCTAAAAAAAACAACTGAAAAAAATAGGGGAAACGCTTTTTGCGTAAGGCGAACATCAGCTGATTTTGACCTTGGCGCAAAAAGTGTCACTGCTCGTGCGACAAACGAGTCGAGCTAACAAGGTCTAACGCCTGGTCCGTGCAAAGAAAAGGAAGGCCTCCTACCGCAACCTTACCGTCTTCGATGCACAACCAGAAAACACGCACGTGCCTGTTCCGTATGCATACAAAAGGAGAATATATCCCCCTCAAATAAACACCAACCACGAAATAGACGGTTGCAATGAACTCATACACCTAGCAAGAGCTCATCCACCCCAACCTTCCATCCGCCCCGTACCCAGCACCTTGTGGTGAGAGGTGCTGCACTACAGCAGTACCTTATGTTTTTTGTTCTTCTATTTCCCGGAGCCTGGAGATCATATTGGCCTAATCGACAAAAAAAAAAACGGCGCGCTGCCGCAGAAAACAGCATCGCTAGAGGGTCTCAAACCGCACGCCGAAACTCCCACCCACAAACACCCACAATCTATCCCCGGTCTGCCACGCCCCTTATCCCCGCGACACCTTGCGTCGGGTAAAAATTCTATCCCCCTATCAACCAACCGCCGCCATGCTACACGGGGGGAAAAGCTTGATATCCTCACGAGAGTAATTACACTACCCAACAAATAAACGATCGCCAAACGTTTTCGCTGACCACACGTTAAGAACGGGGGCAGTTTTGCCTTTGCACTCCGTTGTAAACTCAACGCTAACAGCCTTGTTGTCGCTGTGCTGCTGCTGCTGTAACGGCATGCGATGCGACATTGTTCATCGGCCCAACCTCCGTGATATTCAAGCACTTATTGTTGGACAAGAACGCCTGAGTTCACAGTTCGACAGCTGTATAGTCCACACTCTGAAGCGGTTCCGATGCCGATCAAAACAATCTTGTTTCACGCACACTACAGTCGTCGAAGCATACACGATCGTAAGTTTCCACCCAAACTGCCATCTTGACGACAATAATAGTCGCAAGTCGTGTTTTTCTTACTTTTTCTACATTGGTTTGTTAATCACGAGCTGGCCGGGCTCAGGAGATCCAGGGTTCGTCGGCGCCTCTCCTACCCGTTTCAGCTGATGGTGATGAAACGGCAGCAGTTACGCCGCAATTTCATGAGGGAAGCGGACGGAGAAACGTGCGTGGGTGAAAGGAATTGGCCAGGCAGGATCAGGACGTCAGTGAGGTGCTTATGCATACATGCGGTTGGAACGAGTGTATGACAGAACATGGGAAAATTGGGGGTCATATCAAACAGAGGTCCAACGAGTTGCGTGCTCATCGTCTGTGCTGATGTCATTGTGCTGTCAAACATGACTAAGGACTTACGGGATGTTGTCCGCAACACCTTACGCACCATCACATCTTGCGTGTGCGTGAGTGTGCATTTCAACTACCGTACACTCGCTGCGAACCGCACGAAGGCAACCTTTATGTCTCGATGTCTCTATCCCAGACAAAAAAAGAAGCTCACCAACGCTACATGTACAGCACCGCATATTGAGGCACACCGGACCTGCATGATGTTGTCCCGGATGATCTCCCAGCTGCCAGTTGACTTGTACTCCAGGCCGTTCTCCTCCGCGAACTTCTGCACCAGTGGCACGAGATCGCGGTACTTGTACCGCGGCAGGGTCGGGAACAAGTGGTGTTCCAGCTGGTACTGCATGCCGCCCCACAAGTGCCTGGGCGGAGCGAGAAAAACAAAAACACCGACACGGATATTTCATCGTGAGCGCTCTCACTGACGTCCATCCCACATAGGTCACGATACACACGTCAGCACACCCTTCTTTCTACCCGTGGGCTGCTTCTTCTCAAAACCCACCACATCCACGACTGCTACTACTGTACTGCTTGACCCCGGTGGATCTACGCCCGCACCCACCCACCAACCGCAGAGAAGCTCTCTCACTCAGGGTCCCCTCCCTCACTCACTCCGAAAAGGGGTCCCCGCAGACAGCATCCCTGGTGGTCTTGAACTGGGTCTCCACGAAAGAAGCGTCGCCCTCCTCCTCGAAGGGCGAGGACGGGTGGGCCGGCTCGTCCTTCACCGAGAACTCCTCGGCGGTGTGCGTGACTGTGACGATGGTCGCCGTCAGCCAGCCGCCCACGAAGACGTGCCCGATGGCGACGGGGAGGGGCACCAGGGCCAGCAGCCAGCAGTAGTGCAGCGCCAAGAGAGCTCCCTTTTTTTTGTCATTTTGCATGTGTTGTTGACCCGGCAGGGAGAGCAGTGGGTGTAGGGAAAGCGGGCACGATGAGGTTGCAAGCGGGGGGGGTGACGTGGTTGTGGGGAAAGACGAAAAATAAAGATGGGCGTGATACACCGCGCAGCAATCTACGCGATTGAGAGTAGTCACTTCGCTCACGTTCAGCCGTAAAGTTGTTACCATCGGGTGTGGTACTGCTGTGGGGTGGGGTGGGGGGACACAGTATAATCTCATGCCGGTGCGTTGTGTCTCGTTGTGTCGCATATCAAATCATATCATATCGTACGGTATGCATGCCTTCCTTCCCCTGTCTTTCGCCTCGTCTCACACCTGACACGTACACCACCTGACACGTCACCCTCAACCTGGCCACACAGTACTGATCTCTTCTCATGAGAAGCGAGTGAAGACATGACGCGCCCACTAGTGTACATGGTAAAAACTTACGGCAGGAAAAAAATCTTCTTGGTACACAAAAAACAAAAATCAAAACCATCGAAAAAAAATAAAAAAAAATCGGAAGGTATGGTTACGAGAGTTTCACGTGACCATACCAAACAAGCCGTACCCGGGCCAATTTCAAAAAAGTTGTAGAGTGATCGCAAGTTCCTTACAGTACCGCTGCCAAATCAGTTAACATGAGCGAATATTAGCGGAGGATAAAACGACCATGTCAAACATGAGAGATAGTCCCGTGCTTCATGTCTCCCCACCCCGTTCTTACCGCGCCACACTCACCCTCAACAAACACGCCTTCCACAACTCTGCTCAAGACCCCGCGAACAAACCAGCCCCCCCCCCCACCCCCCCACCCGGCAAAAAGCCACCGCAAAAACTCGAAACCCCTCACCTCGAGCTTCAGTTTCTCCGAGATTGCGGTCTTGACGGAGCCAAAGCGCCAAAGCAGAAAGGTGAGAGAGAAGGGCAGGGGCCAGTAGAGGTGCTGGAACTTCCTCCACGGTCTGTCGCGACCGTCGTCCGGCGCCCAGAGCCACAGCGCGGGCTCTACCTGTGTAACCGTTGTCGTTTGACGCCGAAGATTTTGATATGTTATGTATCAGCGTTGACGCATTGTGTTCTTGATGTTTTTTTAATTATTATTGTCTTCACTTCAAATCAGCGCTCACAGCACTTGTGCCGTCTACTTCAACCCGTGGTCACACAGAAGGGTTCCTCCCCTTGAGGCCCCCTACCCTTCATGTTTGGTTGATTTTTATCATGGAAGTGCCCGTTGTTGCGTTAAACAACACTTGTCTGAAGGGAGTTTTCTTTCTCGCCCGTTCGGCCCGCCGAAGGTTCAACACAGCACCACCCGACGGCAATACATAACAATAACAACTACTCCGAAATACAACCGAGTGCACTACTCACGATGATGTGCACTGTCTACTTACGATGATGTCTTCATCGGCCCCGATAACGTTGGTGAACGCGTGGTGCAGATTGTGCTTCTCCGACCACCACCTGGAGCTCAGCCCGCACATGAGCGCCCCGTAGTGTCGCATCGCGGTGCAGTACCTGGGTCATTGAAAAAGCAGGGTACGATTGTAAGGACACTTCGACGTTCGAAGGACACTCGTGTTTTCTAAACAGTCATGATTGCCTTGAAGCGGGGACGAATGCATCGACAGCAACGACGACCACGTTGTACCACAACCACAACAACAATTTCAACAACAACAACAACAACGACACCAGCACAACAACAGCAACAGCAACCGCAACAAATACAACAAATACAACAACAACAACAACAACAACAACAACAACAACAACAACAACAATTTCAACAACACAACAAAGATGACGACGACTGCAATATCAACAACAACGACACCAGCACAACAATTTCAACAACAAAACAACAACTATTCAACAACATCACAGCAACGCCTGACACATCTTCGATCGCACGCTCCCAGCCGACACAACACACCAGAGACGCATCCTCGCCGACCGCTCACCTCCCGCGACCGTGCACCATGTCGTGCGCGAGCCAGCCGCCCGTGGTGTGAGCCATTCCCATCACGAGGGTACCGAGCCACGGGTTAACACGCGTTACAAGGACGCCCGCGGCGAAGGCGCCGAGTTGCAAGGCAAGGACCGAGGCGTCTTTGTACCAGACCCGGTCAAACCAACCAGCGTCTACCTTTGGGTGGGGAGAGAGAGAGAGAGAGAGAGAGAGAGAGAAAGGCGCGTACAGACGGGGAGGGAGGAAGAGGAAGACAGACGAGACAGCGGGAAACAGACAGACAGACAGACAGACAGAGAAACAGACAGACACACAGACAGACAACACAGACAGACGAGGGACGTAGTCACGAGCAAGAAGTAAGTATCCACAACAAGAAAATAATAACACGCGCTTGATACAACCCCACTTACCCCACTTGGGCGCGGTACTCCCGACGCTGCCTACCGTACCGAAAGGACTCCTCCATCTTGTACCCGAGGACAAATCTTCATGGCCTGGCCCCGCCAGCGAGGATCCGAAAAGGTGCTTTGAAAAATCTTCGGGTAATTGTTACTCGAGGACATCTAAGGCCGCGGTCGGGGCTGTGGGGAAGTGGTGGGCCGATGATATGGGGACACTGACAATTGGCGCGGCGCTCGCCGAGCCATTATGTACAGCAGTAGTCCATAAGAAAGAGCTTCGGTTTCGACCCACTCCTGTGCTGTGCACGGCGATGGCTGCTGCTTCTGCCATTGCTTCACCCGCAATGAAGACAATGAGCTTAACACACACATGCGGCGAGATTCTACCCCCTTCCCGCCTCCCCCACACAGACGGAAAGACGCCTCCATACAACGCACAAAGACACAGCATGTTTGACAATACCACAATAACAACACAAGACACGAGCAAACAACCCCTGCCCCACCAAAGACGGAAAAACATCCCCATTGTTGTTGTTGTTGTTGTTGTTGTCTTCACATTAAAAACCCGTTCCGGTCTCCACTCAGTACCTTCTAATGTCCGTACTGGTCCAACTGACTCGGACGCCTTCCGTGGTCACAAGCCGACTGCCCCCCGTAGGGGGGAGGGGGTACACCTTTCAAAAAAAAAAAAAATGGACACCAGAAAATTCCTTCAAGGCGCGATTTGTTATCCAACAAAAAAAAAAGATCGACTGTAAGGAAAACCACAATCGGGATAAAGAGACGATCGACGACCCCGGTCAAAGGGATGGAATAACGAAAGGTAAGAAAGAAAGAAAAGACATTTCCCCATACAATACAAAAACAGAGCATATCTCGACAATACAACAACACAACAACACAAGACACGAGCAAACAACTCCCCCAAAGACGGAAATACGCCTCTATGCAATGCAAAAACACAGAATGTTCCGAAAAAAAACAACACAACAACAACAACCACAACAACCACAACAACAACAATAACACGAGACACGAGCAAACCACACCTCCTCAACCTCTCACCAGCTCCTTCCGGAACGCCCTGTAGTTCTTAGTGACGTCATCGGGCTCCACGCCAGCCTTCCCCTTGACCACAGGGAGCGTCTTGAGTCGGTCAAACGCATCGTCCGAGTGGAACGCCGCCATCACGTCTGTCGCGTCTCGCTCCTTCAAACAAACATAAAAAAACAGGAAAAGGCACGGGAACGCCATAAGGCTGTCTTGATACAAAGTGAGTGCCTTTGTAGTACATCCCCTCCTACCGTGCGATTCTGAGGCACCTCTGGCTAAGTAGGAAGGACCGATTGGCTATCGGTGATCGGTCCTGTGGGAACAGTGCTCCGTTCTCTCGAGGACGCGTAGTCAATGGTCTAGCCGCTAAGGCATGCAGAACATAAGAGTACGTCGTCCCTTCACCCGTACCGTACAATCAACCCAACCCATGGCATATCTGGTTTGGCACAGCAAAAGCAAGCATGATGGCCAGCTTCTGGTCCATCCTCGCTTCGGCGAAAACCCGGCATAACTCCCCGGCCCGGCATTGTAAGGATGCAAGGTCTATGGTCCACCGACTACGGCATGCGTTCACAAGAGTACACCACCCGTCCGACTTTCGGTGGGAAACTAGGCGGCACCCAGCATTCCCATCCCGATAACCAACTGGCTTCCAGTACAACACAGGCTTCAAGTGTTGAGTAGGGTGACGAAGGAGACAGCCAGTGAGAGCAGCTCGAGCAGCGGGAGAGATGGTACATCACGGTATCATGGTGTACTGCTTCAAAGCGTTCACACGGAGAAATGCGTTCCTTGTCGACCTCGTTGTTCGTCCGAATATGTAAATGCTCACGAAAACGAGAGCATATCTATTGTCGGCTTCCAACATACACCGCCGATGATTGCATCCTTGCGGGTGTCCAAAAATTATAAACTTAAGTTCTCGGCGGCGGGATGCCGCGATTCGCCACTACTGTTGTAACAGGAAAAAATGCAGCATGGAAATGTGGCGCTCTTTGAACTGTAACGAGAGGTAGAGTTTTCTAAGCGATTGCATCCCGCTACCAATACGCATGCACACAGAAGCGATCGATGGGCGGACGAATACGGTTGTTTGTCGAACACTATTCTCCCGTGGCCCATACTCTCTCCCCTCATCCCTTCTCACGGGCAAGAAAAGAGAACGAACCGTCCCATGCTTTCCTTAACACGCGTACAACCACGACCTCGAAACACCATCAACTACACGAAATAATGCTTGAGAAAACTATCAGGTGGCCAGCACACTCGCGCCCCGCAAAAACTGGGAAGGGACATGAGCGCGAAATTATTGCGTACGCGGCGAGGAAAACGGGGGGAGTTTCCATCGTCCACCTGGAATGTCTCTCGTGTCTCTTACCGCGAAGCGATCGATCCAGTGCTCCCCCGATGGATGGAGCTTTCGCCAGCCGGTCAAGTCGTAAAACGAGTCTCCGAGCTGAGGTTTAATCGGGACAGTTACGGTGGTGATGGTGATGGTCGGTTGTTGTAGTCGTCGTCGTCGTTTGTCCATGTTTGGAAAGGAGTCAAGAAAAAGAGTACGGAGAGGTGGAGAAAAAGGACGAGAGAGGGAGGGAGGTGCGGGGGGGGGGGGGGGGG